ATACCCCTGCCGGCTGTGTTCATTGCCTAGCGAGATCCTCACTCTCCCTCTAGCCCCACCCCCAACTCCCCACCAGAGCCTCTTACTCAGTTCTTAATGGAAAGAAAGACATTCTACAGACAACTAGCTCTGTGTGCAGATGACATCACCCATGGAGGAATGGGTCCCAGAAAACAGAGCTTGGATTCCTGGGCAGGGTTGGTGGGTGGAGGTGAGGGGGTGGTGCCCCTGTCCTCTTGTCCCCAGATACCAGGAGGAGCCACATAGTTTGATTAGGAGGCTCGTCACATGCAGCCCTGCACCAAGAGTCTGTTCTAGGCAGTGCAGAGCCGCAGGAGCAGGCCTTCAAACATTAAAGGGGCAACGGAGAAGGGGCAGTGGGTGAATCAGAACAGTCCCAGACCAGGGCTCCAAAATCCTGGGTCGGAGCCCATCTGTGTCCAGGCAACTTAGCTGAGCTCTTAGCTTTTGTCAGAGAAATGGTGGACTTAATATGTACAGCAATGAGGCTGTGTTACTGAGGTGGCATCAGTGTTTTTGCTTCTCCGGCACCCATCCTCCCATCTCTCAGCTACACACCTGATTTTCCTCTAGGGAGCCACCCCTCTCCCATTCTGAGTTCATGAGTTGCAGAAAGGCTGCCTTTCCCCCAAGCTCAGGGGCAGGTGAGACCCAGGTGGAGTCAGTCCCTCCTCCCCTCCTCCATCCCTACCAGGATGGACAGTGGTCCAAGCCATCTCTGTCTTTGGCCCATGCATAGGACCGGCCTATGTAAAAATGAGCAGCACACAAGGGAACAGAGACATAAGACAGAAAGATGGCATTGTTTGAGCCCCTAGATACAGCCAGACCTGACAACGGTGCCCCTTACTCCTTTGTGAGAGCCAATACATACTCTCTTTGGTCAATCCAGTTTGAGTGGGAATTTCTGTGATTTATAACTGAAACAGACATACATAAAATGCAATTGTCACTTAATCCAGCCCTTCACTGCCAAAGTCTAGGGCTCATTGAGAACAAACTTGTCCCAGGTCACATACCACTTAGCAGTAGACTGAGGGCTCTGCAACCCCAGCCCCAGCCCCAATGCCCTACTTGCCAGGGTCTGCATATTTACACGATATGCAGCCCAGTGTCCATGAACTTGCAAGGTAACAAAAGGCTTTACAAACACATGACCTTGTTCAGTTTCACAAACACATTGAACAGTTTGGGAATCAATACTGAGGATGTCTAAATGTCTATTATTAAAACATGGGAAAACTTTTGTGCACAAAAATATTCACTCACCTTTATTTGCAGTGGGAATAACTTACATAACTGCAAAAGGGTCCAATGAGAAACACAGAGACCCTCCTCCAGGAGGCTCCCACTGGAGGTGGATGAGCATCCCAGGCAGAGGTAAAGCCAGTGCAAAGATCCCGAGGCTGGCTCAGGCCTGGCATGTTTGAGAAACAGAAAGGAGACAAGCAGGGTGATGAAATGGGAAGAGGGAGCAGGGCCAGGCTATGTGTCAGGAGCTGGATTTATTCCAAGCCTGACAAGAAACCTTTGGAGTATTCTAACAGGTGAGGAGGAAGGTGGCATGAGCTATGACTTTAAGAATATTTTTCTGGCTACCGTATGTTTTGCTAAACTACCTTTGCAAACATCCATGATTCTTGTCTTCTGACAGAACTTAGATGTGGAATCAAAGTGGAATCACGAGCCCACAATCTTCTAAGGCTTTTAGTACATACTGACAAATTACCCTCCAGACAAGAAGCAGCACCTGTTCCTACTCCTTCCCCAAATGACTGAGGGCCTATCCCCGACCCCCTCACCCCCACTAGATGGAGATCATCTTTGGCAGCATGATTGGTGAAAGTAATATTGCTTTGTTGGGTTTATTTGCAATTCTTTCATTGTCATTAAGTTTGAATATTTTTTCATAGGTTAGTTGTTAACCCATTGGAGATCTTTTCAGGGAGGGGAAGATTGCCTGCTCATGCCCATTGCCCAGTTTTCCTTTGGGGTGTTTCTTTTTATTGATTTGTAGGAACTCTTTATAGTGTGAGAAAATTGGCCCTTTGTTAATCAAGAAGTTTTAGGGCTGAGAAGTTCTTAGCCCAAGCCCCTTGTGTACAGATGGGTAAACTAAGACCCAGACAAGAATGGGTGCTGGCCCTAGTCAGTGCTCGGTTCTCTGGAGCCACTGCTTCCAGCAGGATACCCCTGCCGGCTGTGTTCATTGCCTAGCGAGATCCTCACTCTCCCTCTAGCCCCTCCCGGTGTCTACAGGCTTCCTTCCCGGCCCCACCCCCAACTCCCCACCAGAGCCTCTTACTCAGTTCTTAATGGAAAGAAAGACATTCTACAGACAACTAGCTCTGTGTGCAGATGACATCACCCATGGAGGAATGGGTCCCAGAAAACAGAGCTTGGATTCCTGGGCAGGGTTGGTGGGCGGAGGTGAGGGGGTGGTGCCCCTGTCCTCTTGTCCCCAGATACCAGGAGGAGCCACATAGTTTGATTAGGAGGCTCGTCACATGCAGCCCTGCACCAAGAGTCTGTTCTAGGCAGTGCAGAGCCGCAGGAGCAGGCCTTCAAACATTAAAGGGGCAACGGAGAAGGGGCAGTGGGTGAATCAGAACAGTCCCAGACCAGGGCTCCAAAATCCTGGGTCGGAGCCCATCTGTGTCCAGGCAACTTAGCTGAGCTCTTAGCTTTTGTCAGAGAAATGGTGGACTTAATATGTACAGCAATGAGGCTGTGTTACTGAGGTGGCATCAGTGTTTTTGCTTCTCCGGCACCCATCCTCCCATCTCTCAGCTACACACCTGATTTTCCTCTAGGGAGCCACCCCTCTCCCATTCTGAGTTCATGAGTTGCAGAAAGGCTGCCTTTCCCCCAAGCTCAGGGGCAGGTGAGACCCAGGTGGAGTCAGTCCCTCCTCCCCTCCTCCATCCCTACCAGGATGGACAGTGGTCCAAGCCATCTCTGTCTTTGGCCCATGCATAGGACCGGCCTATGTAAAAATGAGCAGCACACAAGGGAACAGAGACATAAGACAGAAAGATGGCATTGTTTGAGCCCCTAGATACAGCCAGACCTGACAACGGTGCCCCTTACTCCTTTGTGAGAGCCAATACATACTCTCTTTGGTCAATCCAGTTTGAGTGGGAATTTCTGTGATTTATAACTGAAACAGACATACATAAAATGCAATTGTCACTTAATCCAGCCCTTCACTGCCAAAGTCTAGGGCTCATTGAGAACAAACTTGTCCCAGGTCACATACCACTTAGCAGTAGACTGAGGGCTCTGCAACCCCAGCCCCAGCCCCAATGCCCTACTTGCCAGGGTCTGCATATTTACACGATATGCAGCCCAGTGTCCATGAACTTGCAAGGTAACAAAAGGCTTTGCAAACACATGACCTTGTTCAGTTTCACAAACACATTGAACAGTTTGGGAATCAATACTGAGGATGTCTAAATGTCTATTATTAAAACATGGGAAAACTTTTGTGCACAAAAATATTCACTCACCTTTATTTGCAGTGGGAATAACTTACATAACTGCAAAAGGGTCCAATAACAGGACATTGGTTAAACAAGTTATGGCCTATTCTTTGATGGAATATCCCACAACAATTTTTTAGATAGTGATTCTGAAAATCACCTGTGCAGCAACATGGAACGTGGCCACGATGGCAGGGGACACTCTGCCTGGGGCTAAAACAGAGGATAGAGGGAAGAAAAGGGAATGCAGCACCACAGTGGGTCTAAGGGGAAAGGCACAAGTCGTCCATTTCCTAGTTGGGATAAACTGAGGTCCAGAATGGCACCCATGGCTTGCCCAGGTTCCCAGAGAAAGTTAGTGGTGGAGTTAGACCCAGACATGGCCCTCCTGGTCCAGGTTTCAGGCCTCACTCCTAACCACACAAGTGTGGGATGTGGGTATATTCTCTGTGCACAGGGTGAAAATTATGCAAATAAGGCCAGAATCAAGATCCTCTCACTCCTTGGCGACTGTTCTTTCAGGGTGGCACATATTGTTCCAGACACTTCTGGGCTTTTATATACTGGATATCTATATATTCATAACTGAAATAGTATTTGTTTTGTGACTGATTTGTTTGTGCCACATGAATGTTATCATACCTTGCGCGGTGTTCTGCAGCTTCTTTCTTCACCCAATATTATGTCCTGGACATCTTTCCAAGTCAGTACCTAAAGCTTGACCTCCTTTTTAACTGCTCCCATTTTAGAGATTACTGGGGACAAGGGCTCTCATCCCAAAGTGTACCGGAAGGCACCCCACCTGCTCTGTACTTAGGTGGAGGCCAATGGGCTGTGAGTAGAAGTGACAAGTGTCACTTCTAGTGAGAGGCAGTTAAAAGAAGGGCCTCAACCCTCTTTATCTGCTCCTGGACGGCTGATCCCTGAAGCACCTTGTTGAGAAAGGGAGCCCTATAAGATGGAAGAGATGCCTTGGCTTGAGGCCCTGAGTGACCTAATGGAGCCCAGGGCTCACCCTCCCCATGCTAACCTACACTGCACACCTAGGCTGAGAAAAATACAACTGTGTGTGTTAAATCATGGAGATTTCAGAGTGAAGTTGTTTCTGCCTTTTAATGTTGCCTGCTTTCCCTGACAGTCTGGGTGTAACTGGTTCTTAAAATAATTCTCTCCATGATAGGTTGCTTCTAATATGTTTACACTACAGACAATGGTGCAGTTACTGTTCCTCTAACACCCCCTCATGCATTCTCAAGAGCATATTGCTAGGATTTTCCCTATTTTCCCTTCAGCATGCATCTCTGCTCTGCTCCACCTGCCCTGGAAACCTGGCTCCCCCAGATTGCCTATCCCAGCAGGCTCCCTTTTCCTCTGGCTTCTGGGTGGGTTCCACCAATGGGAGGTGCTTGCAGGAGTCTGGAGGGCGGAAGAGAGAGAGGCTAGGGTACAGTCCCCAGCCCATCCCTCCTTCAGTTTGGAGTCTCTAGCAGAGTCTATACAGCTTCTCGCTGGCAGTTCCTCTCCTGTGCCTCCACACCGCAGCTCTCACTGAGCCCAGGGGATGCTGCCCCTTCTCTTGCCCTCCAGCCCTAGGGTGGCAATGGTGCCCTCCTGGGCTAGTCTGGTTCCTTGACCTCTCTTGTAGGGTTCAGTGACCCTGACCACATCTCTGTCAGTCACTAAAACTCTACATTTTGTTGAGCTTATCTGGAGTGAATTCTGTATCCTGCCAGGGCTCTGACTGATGCAGCTGGAGAAAAGGTGAAATTCCCAGGTCTCTGGAAATGTGTGTTGTCTATTTTAATACATGGCTCCAAATTGCCCTTCTAGTCACGTGAAAGCTTGCCTGACCAGGCCGTTGGGCAGTCCTGCAGAGAGATGGGGACGTGGGCTCCCTCTACGGCACTGGCGTCTGGCTCCTGAGGTGCAACCTCAGATTCTGGAGCTGGTGTTCTGGCTGATCAACAAATGCCAGGACACTGAGCCACCTCCAGCTGGACGCATGCCCAGGAGCACGTGAGGGACCCAGGCCACTACCAGCCACTGTCAGCTGAGACCAGCCTGGGTCACCTTCCCCTGTCCTGCTCAGAGGCAGACCGAAACCTGACAAGCATGTTTTCACCAACCTGAGAGTTTCGGCCTCTCTTTGGGGACTGTTTGTGTTTCAGGTCACGCTGTCAGCTGCCCCCACCCTCATCTTTCCTCTGCCAAAGTGACATTCCCCTGGCTGCCAGGCCTCCAGGAACCTGGCGGTTCCTGTCCTGAGCTGCCCAGTGGGAATCTCCTTTTCCGATTCCAGGCACTTCAGTATCCTCTGTTACATTTCAGAACCTCATCATAGCCCAGCAAATGGGAGGTGCGGCCTTCATCTTACAGACACAAGGCCCAGCAAGGGAGGGCAATTTGCCCAAGGTCACACAGCAAGTTAGGGGCTAGGATAACCTGAAAACTGACCCCCAGCCCAGCATCCACTTCATCCACCCTCCAAACTCAACCACCAGACAGGGATCAGACCTGCAGCAATCCCTCCACTCATTCATTAACAAACACAGAAACTTAACTGGCACCAGCTACAGAGGGTTGGCCTTTGACCAAACCCTGCCCACTGCCTGTTTTTGTAAATAAAATTTTGCTGGAACACAGCTACTCCCATCCATCTGCGTTTGTCGTCCACCCTATCCACAGTTTCCCTTTCCGCGCTTTCAGTATCACAGAGGCATTTTATCATCTTACACCATCACGAGATGAGGAAAGGTGAGTACAGCACAATAGGATATTTTGAGAGACAGACAGACCACATTCACAAAACTTTTATTACCATATATTGTTAGAATTGTTATATTTTATCATTAGTTATTGTTAATCTCTTCCTGTGCCTGATTTATAAATTAGGTTGTAGCATAGGTATGTATGTAAAGGAAAGAACATAGTATATATAAGGCTTGGTACTACCTGTGGATTCAGGCATCCACTGGGGGTCTTGGAATGTATCTGTGCACATGAGGAAGAATGATGGTATCGTCTCTGGCTACTTTCTGGTGCAAGGGCAGAGTTCAGCCACAGAAGAGGCCATCTGGCCCTCCAGCTTAAAATATTGTACTATGTATCCAGGGCCACATAATGACTTTTTAGACACTTTTGCACCATCATGAGCCCCTTCCTTGTAAACACACACACACACACACACACACACTTACAAACTACATTTTATGACTGTTGGTATAAAGACAAGGATAATCCAGACTGAATTATATTCTCTTCTTTTTCTAATGATTTTAAATAAATTAAAACCTTTCCATGAGCCCCTAGATCTATTATGGACCCTAGACTCTGCACCCAGTGTGCCTCATGGAGAAGTCACCCCTGAGTTTGTCACACATTGGGTCCCTCATTGCTGAGAGTAGAGCCCCAGAAAGAGACACCCCGTGTGTAGCCCTCACTGAGGTCCTTACTCCAAAAGCAGGGGGGCAGGGAGACATTTTGATGGCTTGAAAGGAACCATTCAGAGAACAGACAAAATGATTGCTTATATTTCTTAAGATGAAAGTGTTTATTCCTTTTCAAATTCTTATATTTTGCATTTTTCAAAATTTTAATTAGTTTTTTGGGATAAATAGTAGATGCACATGGGTTAAAAAATATCTTGAATGTTTCAAATGAGTGCAAAGGAATGTGACTCTCCCTCCCCCCTCTGCATCCCATCCCTGTGCTACCACTGGTGTGATTCCTTCCAAGGAAACTGTATGTATGCAAGAGATGTGTGTACATGGTTCCACCCCCTGCCTTTTTCCCTCCTAAGTCTATATTCTTACGCCTAAATTCATTTTGTCTTTGTTGAAGGGCTCCTTAATATTCCATTGAATGAATATACCACAATTAGAACATTTGGGTATTTGCAGTATTTTTCTATGACAACAGTGGAACTGCCAATGCTTTTGTACAGACCAGCTATACCTGAATATTAGGCAACCTTGTTTTTCTCTCCAAAAAGATCTCTCAGAAAAGAGGGAATCCCTTTAAATACAAGTTCTGATAAAGGCTCTCCCAGTACCTGGTGCTTTCTGGTTCCTCTGTTTTAAACAAGGAAATACTATTTGCAGAAGACACAATAGCCTGAAATGACCTCAGGGATTTCTAATTTTGGATGTTTATGGTGGACACCCAACAGAACTGGTTGGGGAAAAAAAAGGAGGCAAAGACATTTAACACAGATTTAGTAACTTTTCCTGGGGATATGACTTCACAGTTTCAAGTGTTAAATAACACTGTAAACAAATGTTTTAGGGATTACTTTAGCAAGCAATGCTTTCAAATTAACAATACCCATCCACTGGACCCATTAGGTGAATGAACAGGAAGCTGCAGAGTGGGAGAAGATACTTGGAATCCACTTGTCCAACAAAAGACTTGTATCCAAAATACATAAGAAACTCCAACAACAACAAAAAAGCAGATGATCCAAAAGAAAAAAGGATAAAAGACTTGGTCAGCATTTCATTAAAAAAGGATATCCCAAATGACCAATAAACATGAAAACACTCCATTAGTCATCAGGGAAATGCAAATTAAAACTATAATACAATACCACTATTTACCCACATGAAGGGCTAAAATGAAAAAGAAAGACAATATCAAGTGTTGACAAGGGGGTGCAGCACCAGAACTCTCATACCCTGTTGAGCAGAATACAAATGGCACAATTTTAGAAAACTGTTTGGCATCATCTGTGAAAGCTGAACGCATGCACCCCCTGACTCAGCAGTTTCCCTCTTAGGTATACACTCAACACAAATGCATATATGTATTTATGAAAAGGCATGCATAAGAATATTCATAACAGTTCTGTGTTATGATGATTTATAATAAGAAATATGTATTTGGTCTTCCTCTCTGTTCCCAGCACATGGCTTTAAGAATCTTGGAATTTCCTATATGATGAGAGCTAGAAAGTTTTATTTATGTTCATGAGGTGACTTTTGGAAAGCCCCTGTGTAACCTGAGGATGGGCCTGGTTGTCAGGGGAACCAACCATGTGATTAGAGGGTTGGAACTTGCAATTCCACCCCCTTGACACCCAGTGAAGGGAGAGGGGCTAGAGACTGGGTTCAATCACCAATTGCCAATGATTTAATCAAGCATGTCTGTGAAATGATGCCCCCATAAAAACCCAAAAGGATGGGGGTCTAAGAGCTTCCAAGTTGGTGAACACATGAAGGTGCAGGGAGAGTAGTGCACTCACACGGAAGGTCTATGTCCCTTCCCACATACTCTGCCCTGTGCATCTCTGCCATTGTTCCTGAATGAGATCCTTTTATAACAGACTGGTAATCTAGTAAGTAAACGCTTCTCTGAGTTCTGTGAGCCACTCCAGCAAATTAATCAAGCCCATGGAAGGGGTGGTTAGAAAATTCCCTGTTCAGCCTGTGGGTCAGAAGTAAAGGTATGGATAAAATTAAAGTTCCTGTGGCCAGGATTCTCACCCGGCCCTGGTTGACTAGCTCATTACACAGGTGTGGGCAATATGTTGCTATTGACTCTATATAAAGAGCTCTGTCCAGTGCTCTGGGTGACATGGTGGCATGACTGCAAGGCTGGAGGAGAGCAGAGCAGAGGCTGGAGTGGTGGAAGCACCGAGGACAGAGATCCAGAGGACGGCTGTGCGGGCAGAGAGGCCCAGAGGCAGAGACTGGCTTGCTGCATGCAGACTAGCTCTGAGTAAATGGGATTTTAGTGATTGACCTGCCACCGTGGAAATAAAATTGGGTATAAAACTTTCATCCCAAGAGCATTCTACTGTCATTTCTTTGGTCACATTGAATCCGTAGCGAACTTGCCTGGGGCTGAAACCATTGGCAAGACAAAAGGTAACAACTTGAACTTGCAACAGGCATCTGAAGTGGGGGTGGGGAGCAGTTTTGTAGGACTGAGCTCTTAGCCTGTAGAATCTAGTGCTATCTCCAAATAGCGTCAGGATTGAGTTAATTGCTTCTTGGTGTTAGAAGAAAACGCACATCAGAATTGGCATCAGAATTCCTAAGTTCTATTTGTAATAGCCAAAGTTTGCAAACAAACCAAGTCTCCACCCAACCATACCATGGATAACTGTAGTATGTGCATATAAATACTGCAGGGCAGTGAAAATGAACACACTATAAGTACATGTAATGGCATGGAAGAATCTCAAAAACACGAGTACAAGAAGCTAGACATAATAAAGGAGTATAGGTTATATGATTCTGTTTCTAAACCATTCAAAAGTAGGTCAAGCTAGCCCAAAGGTGAGGACAACAGATGAACAGGTAAACAAAATGTGGTATACCCATACACATATCCTTTGATGGAATATTATTCAGCCAAAGAAGGAATGAAGTTCTGACACCTGCTACAATATGGAGGAGCCTTGAAAACATAAGCCAGACATGAAAGGGCAAATATTTCATATTGTATTTATATGAAATGCCTAGAAGAGACAAATTCATAGAGCTAGAAAATTATTAGAGGTTACCAGGTCCCAGGATGATGAGAAAATAATTTATCACCTTAACTGTTTTTAAGTGTACAGTTCAGTGGCATTAAGTACATTCACCTTATTGCACAACTATTCCACAGTCAATCCCCAGAACTCTCTTTATTTTGTGAAACCGAAACTCTGTGCACATTAAATAAGAACTCCTCATTCCCCCAGCCTCTGGTAACCACCATTCTGCTTTATGTCTGTATAGTTTGACTGCCCTAGGTATCTTACATAAATGGAATCATACAGGATCTGTCCTTCTGTTACTAGCTTATTTTCCTTTAGCGTAATGTCCTCAAGGTTCAACCAGATGGTAGCATGTGTCAAAATTCCCTTCTTAAAGTCTGAACAAAATTTCATCATGTGTATATATACCATACTTTGCTTATTCATTCATCCTTCAATGGACACTTGGGTTGCTTTCACATTTTAGCTATTGTGAGTAATGCTGTCATAAACATGAGTGTACTAATACCTCTTTGAGACCCTGCATTCAATTCTTTTGGATATATACCTAGAAGTGGAATTGCTTGGTCACACAATAATTCTAACTTTCTTTAGGAACCACCACACTGTTTTCATAGCAGCTGTACCATTTTGCATGCCCACCAATAGTGCACAGAGATTCTAATTTCTTCACATCTTCAGCAACACTTGTTTTCTGGGTCTTGATACTAACCATCTTAATAGGTGTAATGTTGGTATTTTGCTTTTTATGTCCTTGGGAAATAGAAGATTGTCATATATTCAGGAAATATGCTATTCCCTAACATAGAGATGCAATTATGTGTATCTATGGGATAAATTCCAGAAGTGAAGTTCCTGGGTCAAAGGATGTGTGCATTTTTAAAATCACCAAGTTGCTCCCATAGAGGTTGCCCCACTTCACACTGCCACCAACAGTGTGTCAGAGGGCCCATTTCTCCACACCTGCACCATCCCAACATGTGAGCAAATACGTGCATCTATGCCCTACTAGTGTCCCTGGTCCTGTGTGTGGGAAGTGAAGTCCCTTTGCCCTTTCTTCCAGGCCGTAGGAGCCACACAAAGCCCTTGTTGCAGGTCCCTTATGAGGCCCCTCCAGAGGGTCCTCCCCTCCAGAGTACCCTCCGGAGAAGCAACGAAAACAATTTTTCTCAGACAGTAGCTCCCCAGACTTGGAACTCTTTGGGGCTCCCCATCGCCCATAATTGTACTGTCTCAACAGAAGTTTGCCAATGATTTGCTTCTGAAAACCGACAAATGCAGCTGCTGAGATGCTCTTGTGTCTTGGTTTGGGTTGCCCCAGAAGCCAACTCTGAGGTAAGGATTCCAGGAAAAGTACTGTTGGTGGTCCAGGAACATTAGTATGGACTAGGAAAGTGTAAAGGTAAAGAAGACAGAAAATAAAGGGTATATTAGCAAGGCAGTTACCACTGCAGCAAGCCGGAGGTTACCCCCCATGGAGAACTAGGGGAATGGTGCAGAACACCATGTCAGAGTCATGTCCGAGAGGCAAGGAGCTGGTGTACCACACACCACCTCCCAGCAACAGCTGGTTGAGGGCTGCTCTGGGATGTGAGTTCTCTGGTTTGCTATGCATGGGCAGTGCTAGAGAAGTTCTCAGGGAAAGAATTTCGGGAGCTGGCAGCTGGAAGTTGGGTGAGCAAGCCTAGACCAGTAAATATCAGGGGACTGACAGCCTCTGCCACACCTAGTAATTGTGCCTCCCCATTGTGTCTTCTTGAGTGAATAAGAGAGTGGAAGACTTTCAGCTGGTGCAGGGAAATTTGCACCCCAGCAGCTCATCACTTCAGCCACAGTCTTGTGCCTTTCCAGAACCCATTCTGGCTTCTCCTCATACTAGCCTCTGGTCTTTCCTTGGGGGTATCACAGCCAGCAACGCAGCCTCAGTCCCAGGGGTTGGGATGGAGTTGGCTGTGCCCCTGGAGGCAGCGCTGGTCACGTGATTCGGGCCTGGCCAATCAGCAGATTGCATCCTGTTGGCAATTGTGATTGGTTCAGAGATGATCACATGACCCAAGTGCCCATCAGCGGTAATCTCCAGACTTTCGGCTGCTCCTGGGAAGGCAGAACTTTTTCCTGTGTCTTAGTTTGGGTTGCCCCAGGAGCCGACTCTGAGGCAAGGATTCCAGGAAAAGTACTGTTGGTGGTCCAGGAACATTAGTATGGACCAGGAAAGCGTAAGGGGAAAGAAGACAGAAAATAAAGGGCATATTAGCAAGACTGTTACCACTGCAGCAAACCAGAGGTTACCCCCCGTGGAGAACTAGGGGCTGCTGGCCATTCTCTTGCTTCTAGGCGTTGTGTGTGTGCTGGTAGGAGCAGTGCTGACTGAGAGCCACCGCTGAGACAAGCCAGCAGAGAGGTGGAGGCTGATTAGTGGTGACACGTTGAGCCTAAAGTGACATCTACCCCTGGACTGTTCAGATACCAGGGCCAGTAAGTGCCCTCTTTTAGCTTAAGTCAGTTTGAGGTGGGCTTCTGTTGCTTACAGCCAATGGAGGGCTGAGCAGTGCACCAAGGCACCTTGACAAGTGTTGTCACTGAGAATAATTGTGGGGCTTTGTTTGCCCACACATTTTGAGGGGATCATCAATCTGGGGCTCCCGGTGGGAGAGGCCCAGACAGGGGTTGTTTTCCCCACCATGGGAATCAGGGCAGCAAAGGCGGGGAGCACAGGCTAAGGAGGCTTCTGCCTTCTGTGCCCCTTGCTCCCCTCCTTCCTCCACACCCCAACCACGCCAGGCTCCTCCTCCTCTCTCCTGCTCCAGGGCTTGGTCTTGTCCTTCCTGCCTCCGGGATCCTCACACCTCCCCACTCCAACCTGACCCAGCTCAACTATACCCTCTTTGTAAAGCCTTCCGGGACAAGAAGGACTTCTTCTCTCCTCCTGTGCTCCTACTGTTTGTACCCTTCTATTTCAAGCAGAGCTTGGTGCTCAATATAATGATTCATTCATTCTTTCAGCAGTTATTTACTGACCATCTTCCATGCTTCCAGCACTGTTTTGTGCATTAGGGAAACAGAGCAACACAGACAGAAATCTATCTTCCTGGAATTTCCATTTTAATAGGGGAACAGACAGTAAAACTCAATAAATCAGTAAACTACATGTATACCTGAGAGTTAAGTGCTAGAGAGAAAAAACAAGCAGGGAAGGAAATTGAGTGTGTGTGTGTGTGCGCATGCGTACATATACATGCACATACTTTAAATAATGTGGCTAGAGAAAGTCTTTCTGAGAAGGTAACATTTAAGCAAAGGCCTGAAGGAGATTAGGCAGTATCGTAGATGGAATGGTAGCCCCCAAAAGATATGTCCACATACTAGTCCCCAGAACCTCTAAGTGTAATCTATGTCCACATACTAGTCCCCAGAACCTCTAAGTGTAATCTTACTAGCGAAAAGATTTTTGCAGAACTGTTAGAGAATTAATTCCTGTTGTTAAGCTACCAACTTTGTGGCAATGTATTATGGCAGCCCCTAGGCAACTCATAGAGGAGGTAAATCTTGTGGAAATGTGGGGAAGAATACAGCAGGAAGAGAGAATCACAAGGACACAGGCTCTGAGACAGGGATCATGCTTGGAGGGTTTATGGACTAGCAAGGAAACAGTGCAGCTGAAGCACATTGAACACAGGGCAAGGTAGGAGCTGAGGTCAGAGGCCTACGGGGCTAGGTCATTGAGTTCGTGTGGAGCCTTGTTGACTTTTATCCTGGGTGAAATGAGGATAAAACCATGAGAAGGTTTTGAACAGATGAGGGATGTGATCAGACTTAGAATTTTAAAAAAGGAGTAATGAGGGGCGGGAGACAGGTCTCTGTGCTGTGTGGGAGTCACTCTGCGGGCAGCGAGCCGGGCTCTCTGAGGACTCGGCCTGCGTGGGGAAGGAGGGCCGCGGTGCGGGGCTGGAGGAGGGTGCAGAGCAGCAGCCTGGGGGGGTCCGGAGCGGCCTGCTCAGGATGTGTCTGGGGGCCGGTCAGTCGCTGTGTAGGTTTTGCGGGGCAAGGCGCAGAAATGGGTGCAGGTGCGGGAGGTTTGGGCCCGACTTGGGGACAGTGCGCATGGGTACAGATGCGCCCCGGCTCGACGCCCGTCTTGACGAGCCCCCCTCACTGGCTTGTCGCCGTGGCCCTCCGAAGTGTGCAGTTGTGCAAGGCAGGCAGACTGACCTCTACCTTGGCGGTGAGCTTCTGTGGAGAAAAAAAAAAAAAAGGAGTAATGAATGCCTAGCAGCCACCATATCACATCCCAGTTATGTCTGTGTCTCTTTGCAGCTAAACTATGAGCAACTTGAGGACAGAGACTATGTCTTAAATTTTTTGCATCCCTAGGGTCCAACACTAGTAATGAAAGAGCTCTTGCAAATCAATAAGAAAAAGACTGAAAGAACTAGCAAAAGAAAAATGCAAAACAAACATAAGAAGAGACTGGCTCAGTTGCATTTCTAAATATTTACCCAAGGAAATGAAAACGTGTGTTTACAAAAAGTCTTGCATGTGAATGTTCACAGCAGCTTTATGCATAACTAAGTAAAAACCTTAAGCAGCCCAGGTATACATCAACAAGAGGATGTATAACCCATACAATAGATATTCATTTGGATATCCATATAAGGGAACTATTTGTATATCCACATAATGGAGCACTACTCAGCAATAAAAAGTAGTAACTATTGTAATGATACAGATAAATCTCACAGACATAATATTGAATGAAAAGATCCAGACACAAAGAAATACACATTGTATGAAACCATTTATAGCAAGTTCCAGAATAGACAAAACTATGATGCGAACATAAGAATCATGATTGCCTCTGAAGGAGAGGGGCAGAGACTGACTTCGTTAGGGACAAGAGGGAGTTTTCTGGGGGTCATATTTCTATGCCATGCTAAAGGGCTGGGTCATACTCCAAAGGACCAAATGATACACTTAAGATTTTTGCACATTACCATATGTATATTTTACATAAAGGAGAAAAAAAAACTGCAAACAAACACTGAACTCCAGTAACTGACATGCATGTTCCAGCGTTTAGGGAGGAAGTGTGCTGTTATCCCTAACCTACTGTGAAATGTGTCAAAAAAGAAGGCTGGCTGGCTGGATAGATCAGTGTGCGCTAAAGCAAGCCTCGGTGAGTGTTAGTTGCAGAAGCTAGGAGGTGGGTATTTGGGAGTTCATTGTATAATTCTTTTTATTTTTCTGTATGTTGAAAGTTTCCATAATAAAATGTTTTGAGAGGGAAAGGGGCCGAATGATCATAGATATGCAATTATGAGACTCTTCCACCCACTGGATCAAATTACAATGATATGATCTTGCAAGCACTGGATTGCCAAAAACATTCAAGACTAGGGATACCCAGTACACACAAGAGTGTGAGGATTCTCATATAGTATAGATGGAGAGGACTGGCGTGGTACCCCTGCGAAAGGCATCAGCCCTGACACCCTGCATGCTTCCTTCCTGTTCTGAGTGTCTGTCCTTTACATACAATGTATACAGTGTTGTATCCTGTTTTCCTCTCAGCTTTAGATCATTAACATTTCCCCATTAAAAACTCTTTGTAAACATTGTACTTAAAAAAGGCCTTACAGGATCTGTTTTGTTTTGTTTTGTTTACAAATCTCATTGTAGGGAAATTAGAATGTTCAGAAAAGAACAAAGAAGAAAATTAAAATCCCCTGAAACGCAGCCAGTGCGACATCTTGCTGGCCCTCCTCCCTGTTGCTTCTGTGCACATGCATAGGCACGCACACACATTCACACAGATTTCTATGTTTGTGTGTATTTTAACAAAACAAGGATCCTATGGGACATCAGTCCCATTTACTTGATTTTTATAGTTAAAATTCTTCTAAGACATGGTTTTACAGGTTGCCTCATTCTCTAATGAGGGGCCACGTTATTTCTCCATTGTTGGGGTCCAGGTAGGGTCAGCCTAGTATACTTGCTATGCCCTTGTGGAGCACAGGGCAGGGACAGGCCCACTGATGCAGACAGTAGAGGTGTTCAGGCCCCTGGCATCAGAAGGCCTGGCAGAAGTACCCCCGATGCTGGGGGGCCCTGGCCTAGCTGCCCCAGCAGCCCCCTCCTGCCTGGTGCCAAGCTCAGCTAGGATCCAAGCCCATAATTGCTCTCCTCTCGGGGATCCGCTGCCTGTCCTGGCTTGTCCTGGCCTGGCCTGAGTTGCCTTTGCTGGGTCACATCGGGTGGGGCGGAGCCCTGAGTGCCCCTGAGGATTGTGGGAAGAGCTGGGCATCTGGAGCCAGCAGTCAAGGGAGTCTTGGGCAAAG